CTTATATATATAATTATTTAATCATTTAATTAAATCGAGTTAAATTGAGCCAAACACGATCGAACACGGGTATGTGTTCGGCTTGTTTATAATTTGATCTCAAAATATTTGTTCATGTTCGGCTCGGTTGCTTAGCAAACAAATGGATCACGAGCTACTTAGTGTGTTGAACACGAGTTGTTCGCGAACGATGAGCCTTTTTTTACAACCCTAGCTATGGCAAAAGGGTGCTTGAGGTTGAGAGCTAGAGTTTTCATCTTCAGGGCTGTTTAATAGGCAAAAGGATTGAGTCTGTATGCAATGAGAGTGAGCGGGGAAAGGAGGCAGCTGGTGATGTGCATGGTTGAGGGTTGGGGATGAATTATAATTCATGCTAGGGCGGGAGTAGAGGATGAAAGTAAGGAGAATGAGTGGAAGAGCAAGGTTGAGTTTAAGTGGGGTGGTACAAGTAGGGGAGATTGAGGGAGAGCGAGCCAGAGTGTGAAGAGGGAGAGTAGGAGGGAGCAAAGAATGATTGGGATCCACACAGGAAGAAGGCGGGGCATGAGATTGAGAAAATTGTGTAGTTTTGGATGTAGGGGAGATTGGATTGTGGAAGATTAGAGAAGGCAGGATCTAAACATGCACAAGAGAGGGAGCCGTTGGCGAGGAAGCATAAGAAATGCAATCAAGAGAGAGAAATCTAGAGAAACAAATTGCAGGAGAGTGGGTGCATACCTTCAGCGAGAGGAAGGGAGAAGAGATGTTTGATCGTGCTGAATGATGAATTGTGGGATGTGATTTTTGAAGAGGGGGAAAAGGAAATGGTTTTTGGATCTTTTATCCAACTTGTTAAGGGTTTTAGGCTATATTTATCTTGATTGCTTATCGTTTTAAGTGATTTAAGTTCTATATAAATCTATGGATTAATAATAGTGTTGCAGAACTGTGAGATATTTATTTAATACACTAATTCTACCCATTAAATTTTAAATTATTAAAGTGTTAAGCTTGATTATATGTCATGGTTTTCTTTGAATTAATTCTGGTCTTGACTTATTAAATGAACCTATGTTTTGCGGCTTAAAATCAGTATTAAATGATGCTTAAAGCTTGATCATGAAATGTCAAGTAAACCTGATCATAGACTGCTAATGTAGAATTAGTTCAACTAGGTCGACAGAAAGCCCATCTTGAGATCAAATTTTGCTATCAATGCCTCAATTGTGCTAACTAGGCTTTTAATTAATTAGGCAAGGTTACTTGAGCCTAATCTTGGCGAATCAATGTCTCCATTAGTTGATTAGCATGAGAATAATTAGCCCTAATTTTGGGTTAAAAAAAAGCATTTATTTTAGGTGAGAAACTGTTAAACAAAATATGTTGGCTGACATCGTAAATTTTACAGTCTGCTTTTAACAAATAGTCGCAGTTTTCATAGTCCTCCATGGAAAGACCAAGTGAATGTTTTTATAAACATACACCTAGAATATTGCCTTTGGTTTCATGTTTAATTCTATAAAATGACACCTCTCTTTTGATGATATGTCAGTGAGATCAAATTAGAGGAGGCTGCTGTTCTACATTACACATATTCAAAGTTTTCTGATTTGACATCAAGACGCAACCGCTGCGGTTGCAAACCGACAAAAGAGGATGCGAAACGGTGCTTTATGTTAGAATTTGATAGAACTGTAAGTACTCTGTAATCTGATTTACAATCATAGATTTCTTGGCTCTATAATGTATTACCTTTTCCTTTGATCTACAATGCAGCAGTCGCAATAAATGCTGATGATATTTTTTGAATTTATGGTAATTCAAATCAGCTGCACTGCTAAAAAAATGGCCTTGTCATTACCCTTTTTTGTACTAATTAATTGCACCACCGAAAACAGCAGTTTACTGACACTTTTTGTAGTTATTTTATGCTCATTGCAGTTATTTTTCACCCTTTGCCCTCCTTTTATACCAATTGATCAATGATTATGGTGTTTCTGGGCATCGTTGTGGAAGCACTATTGCTGGTGGTAGTCTGAAGTATATGCCATCGTAAATGTAAGATGAAGAATACATTTGAACAGGTTGTGGCAGTGAGTTTTATCTGAAATTTTGGGACATAATGCACGAAGATTAACAAGATGATGGTGCCTCTAAAATAGAACTCGTTGAATGATTTGTCTATGATCCCAGTTTTGTAGAAGTGAAGGAAATTATTCAAGCTTCATCATTGGTTCAACTATATTAACATTTTAAACAGATTCAAGTCAATTATGATAGATTCGAAAATGAAAATAAAGAATCCCAATTCCTTTAATGATGCACAGTATCGAAGGGGTGGCAAGCTTGGCATTTAGGAATCATCTTTAGTGCATGGCATGAAATTAAACCATTCATACTTTGTATAATAGAATGAACCACTTGAATATGAAATATTTTAGGTATTTTCATGTTAGTTACCTTGTTAATTGATCCAGAAGGCCTGTAGTTCAATATTTCATCATTGATTTATATATTCCTGTTTGTTGTAAAAAGTGATAATACCAAAATAAAATAAAATATGGTAGGAAGTGCTAATACCATGTGAATATGAAGTATATCTGGGAGAGGGGTTCAACGGCCATTACCTCCTCTAACAATCAGAAAATGAGCAAACTAACAAAATAGGGAAGGGAAACGGACCTGTCACTTGACAATGTCGAAATTAATATTGCCTCCTAACCCAATGTTGCGCTTCACCTGCTAACCTCTTTCATAACATACCTCTATTCCTTTAAAGGCCCACACTATAAATTCAAATTTCCTTTTCCATACGTAGATAAATAAAAAAGAACCCTCCATCTTCCTTATTGCAAGGCTAATAAAACCGAAAAACCATTCTTCTTGTCTTTTTAGTTATTCCCCCAAAATATAAGAAATAATTTGCTACAGTTAAGGATACCAGAGTTAACCCAAAACACAATGGAATGAAAATTGTTATTTCTGAAATTCAAATGGGGTTACAAACAAAAAACACTTGAAAATAGGAAAACAACGATGCAAACACAAAGATCCCTTAGGGCGAGGATCAAAGGTGGTGGGCTGTAAGTCGAGGTGGTTGAAACAAAGGGTTTTAGGTGGTGGAGAGGCTTAACGACAGCGAAGAAAAAGTGGTATTGTGGCTGAACAACAAGCAGGGGGCTGCAGAAATATGCGGCAGCCTGCAGTGAGGCGGTGGGAGAGTGCGGCAGCAAGCAGGAAAGGGTGGTCTGGCAACTGGACATCAAACGGGGGCAGCAGAAGGGTGTGGCAGCGAGCAGGGGAGCGCTGGAGAGAGGGGAAAATGAAGAGATGATCACCTTCTTAGCATAGCTGGAGCATCACCTCTCCTCGGATACAGCCCTAGAAAGGAAGAATGGCACCGACTGCTGAAATCTGAAGCAAAAAACTGACCTAAATAAACAACAATAGCATATACAAAGTCTTAAGGTAAAGGGGAGTGGGTCCTGATCCAAGTAGGAAGGAACCTTGCGCAAAGGAGGATCGTTCAATTCTTCTTCCCCTCGATCGAAGCGGTCTGCGTGTGGCATCTGCCACGCCCATGCGAGCATGGTGCCCCTACGCCTCAGATCAGTTAATATGTCCAGGAATCTTTTGCTTTGGAATCTGGTTCACTGACATTTTATGCCCCTGTTAAGTGATAAGTTTATGGAAATCTTCAGAAAATTTACAAGTACTCTGCAATCATTATATTGACCTGAACCGTGCATAATGGCTTTCGTTTGAATTGAAAGCCTGAGAAAACAATATGATGCTTGTTAACAAAACAAACCGGTCTTGAGGGAATTTAGTTTTATTTTGCTAAACTATTTTCTAGCATACATAATCTGATTCAATATTGTGGAATGGAAAATATCTAACTAAACTTCAGAATATGTTTCATGTTACAAATCTGAAACTAGCATAGTAACAAATAAAGGAAACATCATCTTAATCGCTAGCTTATCCCAACGGAAATATTTAGATAAACAAATTATAGAAAAAAAATTATTTTCTTCTTTTTGAGCAATTTTGAGAGGAGAAACGAAATAGTAGAAATCAAGATATGAAATTCTTCAGCAATAAAAAAATGTTACTACATTTTTTTAATATGACCAACAGTCACAATATAGAATCACATAGCTTAGGCATTAGGATAAAATTGATGGTAGATGCCATTTTCAATATCCAATTCTTTTATATTAATAGAAATAATTATCAAGAGATTTTATACACAATAATATCACCCGAAATTTGAAGAGCATAGCAAAATTATCAACTTTCATTCTTAATGATTTATTAAGGTTTTAATTCTTTGATGATCGCTTATGAACACAGGTTTGCTAGTTGTTTGTGAATAAGGAAAATTTTAGTGATCTACGTAAATCTCGTTAAAATTGAACGATGATTTTAGCTGGAGGATAGCACTGTCAGAAATATCAAATCACGTTAGAAACTTTGAATCATACCTTGGATTTACCCAGTGAGGTGCTTCGGTGATAAAATCATTTTCTGTTGTTTAGATGGGCTAAAAGATTCGGACTGAAAATACCTAGATCCTTGAAACTTATTTAAACTGAAGGCCATAAGTATTCAGAGAATGTCCAAGTTGGTTCTGTAAACTAATTACCTGATAAAGGTTAAGCTACTTTGGCTTCATTAGACATTGATGCTTCATTGACAAATGGATAATTTAACATTAGGCTAATGGAGTTTAAGATTTTTAGTCATTTCAGGTTCAGCTTTCACTGCAGCAATGGCGATAGAAATAAAAGTTCAATATTGACAATTGACATGAGGTGCATGTAGACAATTAGCCAAAGTTCCATCTTTGTTGATGAATGATTGCTGTGAATCTTTGAAAAGTAGTGCTTCTTGGTTGAGATGATAGCAGGATTAGGACTGACCTGCCATTGTGGTGCTAGTTGCTAATGTGGGGACTTGTCATTAGTATATGACGTTGTTCCTTGGCTGGTTTTCTATAGAAGTTATGATAGTGTTCCAATCGCTAAATTCCTAGAGTTGGTCATCTCATGAATAATATCTGATATTAACTGGTTGTGCAACATAAAGTAAGAGGGCTTCATTAGGTTCTTGGATATCCTTTTCATCTTATCCTATTCTCTTATCATATCTGTCTCATGAGTGATTTAAATTTGATTGCCGAAGAGAATAAATATAGGGTATCAATCACCTGAACTATTTATTATCATCAAGATTTTTGTTTTTGGTTTATGAAAAAATACAATTAACACAGTAAATTTAATATTTTGTTGGATGCTAAAAATTGTCTTGTGGAATGCAACTGATTCGTGAATTTTTAATGCAGGCTTTCATAATTGCTTCAACAGCTACTGAGGAAGAAATGAAGCGATGGTAAACTTCCAAACTCTTAACTAGAAAGACCGATCATCATCTTAATCTTTAAGAAAGTTTCCGTACTTTGGTATCATAAACTGTTATTTCTATGTAGTTTATTAGTGCTTCAAGTACTTCAGAGTATTTTTCTTAACATCATTCAGCCATCCCATGTATTTCATGGGCAATTTTGTCTAGAAATACCCCATATTATTATGGTGGCTTTTCCGCCATCTGATTCTCCAACCTAAAATATATATAAAAGTTCAATTCTCATTACTGTTCTGTTGATTTTTATTAGACCAATTTAACATATTCCGGTAACTGTGGATTGCTTCCCAGCCTACTAATTTTTTTCAGATATATATTGACATGCAATCGGGAACAGGCCCCCGCAAACTCCCGCGGTCAGACGGGGCAAGATTTCTGTTCTGTGAAGTCTTTGTAGTGAGATTTCTCTGGGGGGTGTTGGGGTGTTTTGGAGAGGGGTTGGGGGATTATTTATATGCTGTTATTTATTGTTTTGGTAACTTTTGCTTTGGTTTATGTATATGGAGATTGTGTTATTTTTCTGCCTGACGGAGTAGTGTATCACCTTTCTTTTGCAAGCGGCGTGTCTATAGCTTGTTCAGGAACATGTGTTGGAACTCTTTTGGCAGGCGTGCCTCGTCTGAATTGTTATTTTATGGTTTTCTCTGCTGTTTTCAGCCTGGACAGTTGTCATACTTCTTTCCCCTTCAAAACTCTGTCAACCTCTCATGTTCTCTCTCCCTTGCCATTCCACGACCGTCTCTCTGTTAAATTTGATCCTTAAACACCAAAAACAATAATAGTGTCGTTTGGAATATTTTGATCCTTGGACCGTCTCTTTAACTTGATCCTTGGACCGTCTCTCTGGACCGAAAAACCTGAGAACAGTGTCATTTGGAATCCTTAAAAACTTTGCCAATGGTAGGGTCCATTTGATCTGAATTTGCATGATTTTATATGGTGGAATATTTTTTCTCTCCCCCATTCATTTTAAATAAGCATCAAGTTTGGAACTTAAATCAACCAAAGTTTCCTTGACCAAGTCAGTAAATTAAGTTCATTTGGAGGGAATTCTTTGCATCCTTGGAGAAGTTCTAAAACTGACACCTAGTGTTGTCTGTTGGATGCGTTGTTCTTTGTTATGGCCTAGAAGTGTTACGGATTGGCCTGACGTTTTCCTTTATTGTTGCTTGGATATGCTACCAACAATGTTGTGTCGTTCTGTTCTGTTTCATGGGGGTGTTTCACTATTTGTATGTGTTATTGATTGCTGACTCATTGTTGTTAGTTGCAAGTGCTTCTTGTGACATGTTGTGCTTGCGGCGCAACTCGGAGACACTAATATTCATGAGGATATTTCCCATAAACATTGTTGATCATGCCAATGTTTTCCCAAAACACACCATCGTTTATACAACTGTAAATCCAATTTTTTTGCACTCAAATAGTTTTCTTGGAGTTGTGATGTTTGGAGCTGTTGACAGGTAGTTTTGCATTTTGAAACATCACCTGTAGTCGCCATCATCATTGCTCTGATGTATTTTTTATCACATATGCGAGCCAATTGACTTTTGAGATAATATTTTATCGACTTCACTTCAATTATTTGGAGGGGGGATGGCTCATTTACTTGATTTTTCATTAGTAATTTATGTTCCTGATACACGAGTTTTAGTTTTCCCTCCTTGATATTTGGAGGGGGGACAAACTTTTGCACTCAAGATCCATTAATAGTGCAAGTTTCTTACTCACAAGCCTTTTAGTTTTCACATCCGCAGGTTTCCATGCAAAAAATGGTCAATTTTATTTTGTGTGCCTGAAATTCTTAGTGAGGCTTTATCTTGATCAGTATATTGATGCTTTCTATGAACATTCTATTAAGGATATTTCAAGTCATTCCAAAAGAACAAAATTGATAAGGGTTCACATAAGATTTGAGGGATATTTGATGATTTGTAAATAATTATAAGATATAATGCATATTTGGATTATGACATTTGGCATCAAGTAAATTGAAGAAAATCTTTTAATTAGTTCTTGAGCAGTCTACATTGTGCTTTGAAGAAATAAAAAAATAATTCTAATTTACACTAGAAAAAAATATAAAAAATATAATAGCTCATTTATGAAAATGAACCTAGTTTTATTGATTATTCAAATGCTCAAAAAAATATAGACTATTGCAAACAAATGTCTTAGTTTTGAATAAAATTTTAAGAACCTAAGATGCCTTTCACCACCGAATTCATGGTATACATGCTATCAAACAAAAGACAATTCTCTTTAAAGCCCAAAATGAAACGGTTTGTGATCCATGCATGCATCTCAAATTCTAAATGATTTTTAAATCCTGCATTTGTGCTTCAAGGATTTTCTAACTCTAATATATTGCCTCAAGATGTTTGATTATTTTAAAATATGCATTTGCATCTTATGAATGCTTGAAATATCATATTGTGCCTTGCAACAAATAGGAAATATTTGTTATTTGTTCATTATAAATGCATCAAGCATCATACTATAATACTTGGGATTACATAAAATGCTATGATCATATATGTGTCAATATTCATATAAAATGCATAATATGGGTATGTTGAAATGTGTGCACAATCACAAAATTATGAATCCACAGTGGTCATATTGCCTATAGGGGAGGGTTTTAAGTCCCGCTCACTAGTCTAATCCGTCTCCACTTATGGATTGGAGTGCCGAGACTAGTAATTTCAATTAATGTTCAAATCAGATAAATAAAATTTGTAAGTCCAAATCATCTGGCCCTACCCTCAGGATTTTTGAAATGACATAGTATTCTAAAGATATCAAAATTGATGAATTTCAAATAAATTTCTAACATAAAAGTTTCAAATGTCTAAAATACCCGATAATGACTAAGTGGATAGAATATTTCAATCTGAGAGATCTATTTTTAAAATTAAGTTTCAGAGTCTATTTAAATAATTTCAAATAGAACATGTATATATGTATGTATGTATGAATCCAATCCTTTGTATCTAGGACAAAGTTGATAATGTTCATATTTGAACATATGTCGATGTTAAATTCTATCTTTTACAATAAGATGTAAAGTCGAAAGGGTTCAAATCAAACAATCAAATCTCCGGTGATGGCTGCATTGCCCGAAAATTTCAATCGAAGGAGTTTTCTATGTTTTAAATTAAGATTTCTAAATTGAATTTTCAAAGTAAAAAATTAAACATTTAAGTAACACTAATTACTTAAAGTTTTACAAGCAAATCACATCTGCCCTCCACATTAGTTTGTTGAGGGAGACAAATTTTTGATTGACTTCAATTCACAAAAGAGCTAATGTCTCATCGATTGTATCATTATATTCACATTAAAAATAATTTCACACTAGTAAGGACGTGACCGAAGTCCTTTGCTCACGTGATTTAGCCCATTGGCTCCACAAAATAGTGGTTACAACCAGATGCGTCCGATCGGGTGATTGCAGACAAATGACACAATTATATTACGACCACGAGGGTGCTTGCAGACAAATGACACAATTATATTACGACCACGACTACATCTCATATGTTTCCCAATGACTTTCTGCTCTTTAAGTGGTGAACATAAACACATATCTGATTGACATAAAACATTTTGTTTGCTAAGGTCGACTTAAATTTGTCTCATTAGATAAATATCTATCTCAGATCTACAAGAATCCCTTGTACGTCTCAACTCATGGTTGCTGACAATGATTCTTCAGTCAGGTTGGGTCGATTACCTCATTTGACAAAGTAGATTAGGGACCACGACGACTCGGGACAACTGAATCATGGGATCTTGATTGGGTTTGTTGTTAGTTCTTCCACTATTCACTTTATATTTGAAGTGATATATTTTACAATTTAAAATATATGTGTGTTGCTATTTTATATTGTTTATTAAGTGTTAAATGAGTAGTCTTAATTGAAAATGCTCTCTTGTTATCAGAAGGGGTAATTCATCATAGGGACTTGCGCTTATTGGAAACCTCAAACCACAGATAAAAAAGTCCTCGCAAAATGAGGGTGGAATCTCTCAGTAGTGTCTTATTTACAATCCTATTTACCTTTTAAAATTTTGACCTTCAAAGCTCACTCAACAAACAAATAAAGAGAGATTCTGGGGCGTCAAGATCTTGGGAGCCCACAACAGCATTTTAGTTTCATTAGAAAACCTAGCACTGAGTTGACCTCCATCACTATGGGTTGGGTTGCAGCTTTTGTGCCTCATGAAATCTGTCAGTTTCTTAAATATGGAAACACCTAGGAAAGAATCATTAGGAAATTGAATGCGAGGAAAGCATGGTATATTAAAGTTTGCGCGACACGTTGTATCTGTTGCCTAAAAATTAGAAATTTGAAAAAGTTTCGGTTTAAATTTAATTCTTATTGTGTCTAATTAAACCTTATTTCATGAGGTTGGTGTTGATTAATTCCTTGGATTCTTTTCTTCTTTCATATTCTTGCGAGATTGTATCCAACTTTTTGTAGACAAATCTATTTAGTTTGTTCCCGAACTCATTCTGGGTGATGAGATTATGGCTACTAATGACAGTGGATTTTGAAGATATCTAAAGTACTAGCATGAAAAATCTATTTATTACAGCTTATGAATTACTTTGCGAAAAAAAAAAGCAAAATTTATGTCCTAATCTGTATGATGAGCACCGAATGTTAAATTCATAAGAGCTAAATTTCTCCAGGTCTGACAACTGTATGGAAATTGTTATGATCATTTTTGTCAGAAGCATTACATCTTGTTATTTTGCATGCATTTATCTATTTTCTTTTCATTATTTTATTTCTTTTTTTTT